TGAGGGGTGAGGGCGTGAGGGGTGAGGGCGTGAGGGGTGAGGGCGTGAGGGGTGAAGGCATGGTGGGGTTGGCGGCTCAGGCAGTGGTACACAGGTAGAACAAAGCCAAAAGTCCCTCCGCCGAGGGCCAGACGACCAGATGCTCAGCTCCTAGAGAATCGGAGTAGATGCTTGCCCCAGCAGAGGAGCTCTGTGTACACAGAGCAGAGGAGGCGAAGGGCGGGAGCGTGTTAGCGGGACCACAGGGGCCCTTCCACGGCACCCTCGGGAGGTGCCATCGCCACAGCAAAGGGCCTGCAAGGCAGAGTGCAGGCCAAGGACCACAGCAGTGTCGATGGACACTGATAGCCGTCCCCAAAGGACACCAGGGAATGTTCCCAGAATCTTTGCGCCATTTTCAATGAGTACTTGAATGACAGCCTTTCTCTGAATGATCTCCTGGAGCAGGTCAAACAAATATGGTTTTTTTCCAAGAAAAAATAATATAAGGCAAGACAAAAAAAAAGTTCAGGTGTCCAGGTGTGCGCTGTAACAGCAGCTCAGGGAACAACCAGGTCAGGTGGATGGTGACTGAGGAATGACACACAGAGCTGTCCTCTAGCCTCCATATGTACATGTCCATACATGTTGACCTGTACAGCTCACAAAGGCTGTTGCTCAGTAGGAAGTGTTTCCCAGCATTTGAGAGATCTTGGGCTTGACCTCAGAATTAAGAATGGCCAAGAGTCTCTGGGCACTCATTTGCATAAGCAAATATCACATTTACACTACAATCTGGACAGGGAACAGGCCTCTGGGGATCAGGGAGAGGGAAGGAGTGAAGGGCTGGACGAGACAGAGTGGACACCTGAAGTGGTTCAGGTTCTCAGCGTGACCCCGGAGAGCCTCTGCTGACCCACTCCGTGGGAGGGGCAGAGCAGAGAAGGGCCAACCCCTGCAGTATGGAAACCCCTGGAAAGGATCTGCTCCAAGGCTCACTTGTCCACTTGAATCTTTAGAAAGGGAGAAAGGTGGAGATTGATGGGATGAATAGGCATAGCCCCTACCTTACCTTAATTTTCCCCTCGCAGTGGGGATAGCCATCCATAGGAGGCAATACACATTTTTCTTGAACTCCATTAATGATATCTGTAAAGAATAAGAAAGGAAAGGAACCATGAGATCCACACTACAGATGACCAACATCACAGTCTGCATAGGCTGCAAGAGAAACTGAAATAGAGAGGTCTACAGGGAGCAAGGTTCGGATCCAGGGCGCCTGTCCAGCCCCAGACATGACTGCAGCCATAACAGGATGCTGCCGCTGGCAGGCAGGGACATGCCATCAAGAAGGCTCTGCGGGTTCTTAACAGTCTCGAAAAGAAAGGTATGTCAACATCTATGAGCTTCATTTTCTCTTTTTCCCCTTAGCCCAGTGTGTGCCTTCATGTGCATGAGGGCATACACGTGCATGTATGTGAGTCCAGCCAATAATCTCAGGCGGCATTCCTCAGGAATATAACGTTCTGCAGTTTTTGCTTTATTGTTTTGATATATGGTCGCTCACTGACTTTGGAACTCACCACATAGGCTAGGCTAACTGGCCAGCAAGTCCTCGGGGTCTTCATTTATTTATTTATTTATTTATTTATCCATTTATCCATTTATTTATTTATTTAATTTTTTGAGACAGGATTTCACTTGTAGTCCTGGCTGTCCTGGAACTCATTCTGTAGAACCATCTGGCCTCGAACTCACAGAGATCTGCCTGCCTCTGCCTCCTGAGTGCTGGGATTAAAGGCGTGCGCCACCACTGCCCGGCTGCAAAGGTTCTCTTTAAGAACTCAATGACCTTGACATCTTATTTAGAACTGAATGGCATCCTATAGGTTAAAAGTACCTGGTTACCTTCCCATCACTGTTTGAAAAGGGTGGTAGGAGGAACAGACAAAAGTGGGCCTATAAAACTCCCCCAAACATAGAAACCACGGCCACCTGTACTCCCGCTGGCAACTAAGCCAAATCTCCCTGTCCAGCCCATTAGCGGAGCAAGGATAAGCATCTTCAGGAGGGAAGGCGGCACTCTGCCCCTGGTGCCTCACATATACTTCCTCTCACCAACTGCTTTGTATGTACAACATGGTAGTGTTTCTCCTTGTATACCTGATAGGGACACATGGCCACCGTATCAGACAGCCCCTGCAGAGTGCGCTCACGTGAGCTCCACCACTGTTCCAGGGCTTGGCATCAGCAGAAGCCAGGAATCTCTACATTTGGCCTGGAGAGGCAGCTCTTGCCAACACCCTCATCGCCAGTTTGGCTATCAGAACCAGCAGTAATGGCTCAGAGGGAATCGGTCACAGCGGAAATCCATCTCCTTTTAGCGATGACCTCACGCTGCTCCTTCTCTGCTTGGCAAGTCTTTGCCTAGGCCTTCTTCACACCACAAGACGAGGGAATTTCTACAATTACATCCTAGACAGATGTTTTAGTTACTCTTCCTACGGCTGTGACTAAACACCATGACCAAAGGCAACTTGGAGAGAAAAGGGTTTCCTGGGCTCACAGCCCATCAATTGAGGGACGCCAAGGCAGGAACTCAAGCAGGGCGGGAATCTGGAGGGACAGAACCACAAACCAGCATCGCTTACTGGCTTGCCCCACATGATTTTCTCTGCTTTCTTCCTTATACAGTCCAGGACCACCTTCCCAGGGGTGGCACTGCCCACATCCATCATTAGTTAAGATAATGTGCCACGGGCTTTCCAAACAGCCGATCTTACGGAGGATTCTCTCAGTTCCCTCTTCCTACACATGCTGAGGTGTGTGTGAAGTTGAAAGGCACTAATCAGGATACCACACATTCTAGGTGGATAATCTTCAGGTCACAGGAAGCTCCTATGCCCCAGCGGACAGGAGAAGTCAAGGCTCCACAAGCTCTCCTCGCAGCCTCACAGGGAAGACAAGTTGAGTGTCCCTTGTTTGAAATGCTTGGGACCCTCTGCTTCGGGGTATGCATAGACTTCACATATGCACAGACTTGCCGTTAGGTTGTATGTTCCTAACAGAATATCCAAAATCTATAACTAGAGTTTTTATTCGGTAATAATTTTATTTTGATTACTTCTTTACGCTCTCACTCATGCCTGCATTGCATGGTGAGCACATCCCCCTCATGCTCCATCAGCCTGTTTTCCTTCCCTACTTCTCCCATTCCCCCTTTGTCGTAGACAGTTTTATTTCTTTCACATCTCATATGTATACACATACCTACATGACTTCCTGGATCTACACGAGATGCAGAGCCACAAAGGAGAGAGAGCATGGCATATTTGTGAAACCAGCTTAATTTCCCTAATATAATTCTTGCCAGCTACATTCTTCTCTTTTTGGCAAATAGCATGCCATCAACCTTCACGGCACTTTGAAAGCATGCTTTGTATCTCACTGTTTTTATGGGGTCTGGCTTAAAAAGCTGGAAACAGCATCCGCATTGCATTTTCCAGGTAACTTCTCAAAGGCGTAACTGCTGACCCTCCACTTTTCCCTGATTCATAAACCTAGAGCCTGGAGAGATGAAAAAGACGCCCAGTGCAATGAGGAAACAAGATTTAAGCTCATTAAGCTGTTTCTCTGTGTCAGGCATCATGAATCTACACCGTTAGGGCTTTTCCTTTCGGGGAGTGTGCATGTGTCTGAGTGTGAGTCCGTGTACGAGTCTGAACATGTACATGCCAAGCACGGAATGTGGAGGTCAGAGGACAACCTCAGGTATCAGTACTCATCTTCCATCTTGCTTGAGGCAGGATCTCTTATTTGCTGCTGCATATTGCCAGACTAGCTGGTCCCTGAGCATCTGGGGATCTCCTGCCTGCACCCGAATCTTGCTGTAGGACCACAGGTAATACAGACATGCACTACTGCGCCCAGCCGAGTATGGGTTCTGGGGAGTGAACTCAGGCCCTCATGACCGTGTGGTGAGTGTTTTGCTTACTGAGCCATCTCTTCAGCTCAGATTTTCCATTCAGGTCAAGATCATTTCCAGCCGACTGTGTCTAGGTATTCACGGGCACACCACTGTAATCACCTCGTTCTTGTTCTGCACGGGAGATGTGAGAGCGAGTGTGGAGGAGTAAACTGACTGAGCATTATTCTGCTTGGAAAGGCCCCTTCGCTGGGCGCCTGGACTTGTTAAGTTAGAGCCTGGTGCTGTAGTACTGCCTGTGGGGAAACACCACGGAAACAAACAGAAAATTACATGAAAACACACCGCCAAACAGGGGGCTGGAGAGACAGCTCAGCATGTAAAGCAATTGCTACACAAGAGAGGGGATCAGAGTTCAGATTCCTAGTTCCCATGTAAATGTCAGGCAGGTGTGATGGCCTGCCTAATGCCAGTGATGGGAAGGGGAGACAGGATTCCAGAGCATCCTAGCTAGCTAGCGTGGCCAAATTGGTATGTCCAATTGTCTCAAAGGAGAGGTTCTACCTCAAACTGCAAGACGGGGAGCAAGCAACAAAGACATGTCGTATCAACCTCTTCCCTCCACGGGCACGCATACATATACATCCACACACATGTATAGATACACACATGTGAACATGTGAACATACATGTGACATACATGTGAACACACATGTACACATGCGCACACAGGACATATACCTACATAAGCAAAATTCCTAAAAACAATTTAATTAAAACCACCACAAGGTATTTCATCATACACTCTGTTCTTCGGTTCTTGAGGACTATGGCCTTAAAAGTTTTAGTAAGCCGTGAAATCAAGTAAGAGACACTGCAGAAGAGGGACAGGTCAGAGACATGGAAGGCAGTGTGATGTGTGTTCTAAATCAGAGTGCTTTACTAGAACAAGCCCAGCCCTAAGTTAGAATGAAGGCAGTCAGCCGCCCTCTAGGTCTGGAAGGGTTGAGAGGGAAGATAAAGAAGAAAGCCTAAGAGGCAGGGGAAGAACGATGATTGGACAGCTGAGCAGGCACCGAAAGCTAAAGGATCATGAACTCCAGGCTTGGAAACCAATGTATTGATTATCACTGCAGGCAATGGGAAAGTTACATAGATTTGTGTAGTTTGGAGTAGGTACCAACTTTCATTGAATAGAAAACCAAACGTGAAACCTGACCATTTCATTTGGGATGTCAAAGATAAAAACACATCAAGGGTAAGAACATGCTGTGCTCTAGGAGAAAACTGCCACATAAGATCCTCACAACTGAACAGAATTTTATATCTAACATAAATTGTCCAGGATTCGAAATTCAGTGTATACTGGTAGCTCAGCTGGTAGGGTGCTTGCCTAGCATGCACTAGGTCCCTTCCCTGGCACCACATAAAGAGGTGTGGTTACAGACTGTAGTCCCAGGGAGAGGAAGGCAGAAGGATCAGAAGTTCAGAGTTATCCCTGGCTACCCAGTGAGTTCCTTCCAGTATAAACCCAAGTCCCTCCCCTAATGATCCCAATGACATACTTCTGCCAACAAGCCTCCCAACCCTCACAACTTTCCCAAACAGCGCCACCAGCTGCTGAAATACATATGAGAGACAATTCCCATTCAAACTCTACCATGGCCTATGCAACAAACCCTCGAGAGCCTCTTTCTTCACTCGAGAATTGTTGCAAAACTTTCTAAGAACTTAGTCACCATTCCTTGGCTAGGCACTGAGACCTGCAATCATCCAAGATCTCATTCAGTCTCAGAGTGACCATGACAGTAGTCCCTGAGATGCTCAACATGAAAGACAGCACACGGATCTCACCGCATCCTTTACTCTATTGCTGCATTAGATTCGTCCTACAGAATGGGTCTTCTCTGTGCCTGCCTTACACCCCTAGGTAGTTTTATGTCACAGTGCCTGTGGGTGGAAGGTAAGGGACACTGAGATTACAATACTTTAGATTTGTGCAACCAGAGAAGCTTGGGTGCTTGTCAATAAATAGAATGGGGTCACAGCACAGCGCTGTGTGTATAAATTCTCAGAGCTCTGGGGCCGGGAGAGAAAACGGAATTTGCAATGCGATGTGGATAATCAGGCTCTTTCCGCATAAATCGGCCTCACTTTCTGTAAGGACATACCTGTTCCTTATACCATTTTTCCTGCAACAGAACGTTCTTCAGTATTTTAAGTA